TGTGTATGTGTATCTATGTGTGTGTGTATCTATGTGTGTGTGTGTGTGTGTCTGTGTTAGGTGATAGTAGCATGCCTGGTGCTCAAGGAACCATCTGAGTCTGCTCAGTTGGCATGGTGATAGATGCTGGATCCAGCTCTGAGGAGTCCATCACGGAACGGAGTTGAGATGCTACTTACAGTCCCTTGCCCTACCCCTTTCCTCCCTTAAGAAGATGGTTTCATTTTAACCCTAATTCATTTTTCTTCAACACTGAGATTCTTTATCATCTCTGCTGTTAGTGAGAGAAAAAGTCTTGGTCAGGTCACATCACCAGCAGACCTGGAAGACAGGCACAAGGAAAGGGGCAGTCTGGCACTGTGGAGGGACGTGTTTCCAGTGCCGCCAAAGCAATCCAGAAGCACCTGAGCTCTGGAGGGGTGTGGCGGCAGGATTCTGTGGCTTGTAGGTTTTGTTAGGCAAAGGAATGGCTCTTGGTGAACTGGATCTTGTTGGTGTGGGAAGCATTAAACTCCACAGAACTTCAGAGCATCAGCCTTTGTTGCCTTTCTTCCAGTTGGGAGCACGGGGAGCTTCATCAGCCTCCCTAGACCCCTTCCCCAGAAACCCGGTGCCCCTTTCCAGTGCTTTGTCCCTGTCTCCAAAACCCTCAGCAGAGGGTCTGGGGTACAAGAAGGTAGGTAACTCTAAGTCACCCCCTTAAACCAGGGGCCTTGTCCTTCTGATGCCCTTCCACACAGCCACATTATGCACACACTGCTGAGCCAGCAGTCATGAGAGGCTCTTGCTCTCCCTACTCTGGCAGGGATGTCGGTCCCGGGGTCTGAGCCAGGCCATACAGGGGCCTTCTGGGTGGTAGTGGCGTCTGCAAGGCTTTTGTGGCTTCTTGCAGCTCCTGCTCCCCGTAAGGAAGTGCCAGCAAAGAAAATAGCATTCTGCTCAGGCTGCGCATCTGCTTCCAGGTTCTCACTGCAAATATCCTTGGTCTGGCAGTTTGCTTAAGCAAACAGAATGGGTTTTTTGCTAGAGAAGTCCCCTGTGCAAGACAGTGAACTGAAATGGACAAGAAGGACAGGGATACATGTGATGGAACCCCAAGACCTTGTAGACATTTGCTGCCTGACTTTCCCTGGTGCTACGTTGACTCTGGTTTCTAGGGGCGTGCCAGTGCTGGGGCAACCCCATTTTCTCTTACTGTTCACTTGCAGGGCCTGTTCTCTCATCTGTGGGCCCTCTTGCCTTTTGTCTGCACCCAGAATCCTGGCAACTGTGAGAATGTTAGTGAATGTATGAGCCCAAGTGTATGTGAAAGATGTCTTTGAGTGACCGCAGCCATGTACTCACAGCTGAACACACCATCCTTGGATGTGTGTGTGTGTATGTGTGTGTGTGTGTGTATGTGTGTGTGTGTGTGTGTGTGTGTGTGTATGTACTAGTTCTTTGGTTGATGACCATGTAGTAAAAGGCAGAGCGTGGCGCCTGCACCATGGGATGCACTGCAAGTTGGGTAAGAGGCTGGAGATTGAAACACACAGACAGAGGCACGGGTCATCCTTGAAACAAGAATTGTGTTCCAGGGTAGCTTATATAAGGCTCTCCTTGACTAATGGCCATGCCCTAGCTCTCGGGACTTTTCAGCTGCAAGCCCACCAGAAACCACTCCCCTGCCATCAGGAACTCATGAGGGTCTCGTGCTCAGAGCAGCTGCAAGCATAGGAAAACAAGTTGACGCCTCCAGGCAAGGGGTCATAGAAAATTCAGGGTCTGAGGGTCTGCAGTCCCCAATAGCAGTGTGTCTTTGGGGTCCTCTGAGCACAGGTTCCTTTAAAGACTGCTCTTCTGTGGCTTGGCATGCCCTTTTACTCGGCTAGCCATGAAAAAGGTGGAGAAAAGTGACCAGCGTGAACGCTATTGTGGCTGTGATGGCAAAGTGCACGGTCCGTTGTGAGAGCTAGTGCACACATTCCCTCTCCCCTTATGTGCGTTCACATGTACACGATTGCTTTTGTTGTAGTCAAAGCTTGGCCTTTCAGTCACATGACTAGGCAATAGCCGGTAAGGTCGTTACATGCTGCCCCACACCACTCCTGACCCAGCACAACTTTAAGGAACCACCACACTTTGATTGGAGCACACAAGCTCTTGACTCCAACCTCCACGTAGAGTAAGCTTGCAGGGTGGGGGCGGACAGTGAGTGGCATTTTGTGGTTTATTTTTGTTCCTTGATGCGCCCCCACTTTCCTCAAGCTTTGGGACCCCAACGTCCAATGCTTATTGGAGTCATTTTGTGAGTTTTATAAAAGACAGCCTGCCTTAGCCTGGTGATACAGCTTCAGTCCCAGCTACTCTGGAGGTAGAGGCAGGGGGATTACATGTTCAAGGTTTCCTGCACTACAGAGTTGAGCTGAGTTTAAGACCAGCCCAGGCAACTTAATAAGACCTTATATCAAAATTAA